ATATGCTGCTTGCATTTGCTAATCATTCCAATCACAAAGTAGGCTGCTGGACGGACATTCTGTTCCCACAGACATGAGCATACTTAGTTAACTTCCTTCACATCCACGTAGGCGTAGTAGCTGGCTGGCATATGCGAGACCCTAGTTTGTATAAAGTTGATGAGCTCACTGATTTCATCCCACCCATTCGTCTCTGAGGGTAGTGTAAGGCTGGAGATGAAAAAAGGGTTTTACATTTCTAACATTACCTTATCAATGACAGCTGCAATGTGCATTAGGTTAGCGTGAAAGCATCTTTTAGTCTTCGGCCTCACCATGTCTTGCAACCCCTAACAGTATGAAGGATCCAACGCAGTCGAAGAACTCATCAGCTAAACTGAGGAGAAATGCCCCTTAGACTGGTGAAATCAGTGTAATTTCCTCGTTACTGCCCTGTGGGCCGTTTCCGCAACAGCGACAATGCTGCTGAGAGGAGAAGTAAGTTTGAGAGGAGTGTCAGTAAGGATGACTCCTTGAGTAGATAGAGGAGGCTATTCGGCAAAGCCACATTGTATTCAACAGCCCGTGTATCAATGTCTCAGTGTCACATTGTCCTCTCCCTCCTGACTCCATTAATAGACCTTCAGCTGTTTCTACACTCTTAGCTAAATAATATCTTAATATATTATTTCAGGACGACTTCAGAGAAGATGCTGTCGCCACTTTTCTGCATGATAACTCGCGTTTGGCGGAATATGTCGCATTCCGCTACATGAATTGTTGATCTTATCACGAGTTCTGCAGGATTGCAATGAAATAATTTCCGGTGTCATTAAGATACTTATTTATGACCTCAACGCACCACCTACACCCCACTGGTCACAACGATTTTAGTTGGTTTACTTTTAATTTTATTGGTCAGTGAAGTGTGCTACTGCTTCGTCCCTCGTCGGTCAAATGCATATGGGACCAACAACTGGGTGCTTTATGTCAATGAATTAATGCTTCTTAGTCGCCCCTTTTGACTTCATCTA